AAGGTGCTTCACAAAACCCATTCTAACGTCATTTTGGCTAGCAACCATACCAATACTCTCAAGCAAAAACACCAATACACTAGCAAAAACACACCTAGAGCCTGCCAAAATCACACCTACAGCCTGCCATAAAAAACGGTAAGAAGAAGAGTTACGTTACTTATAGAACTGTACGATGATATTTTCTACAGTAATAAAACTTCAAATACATATAAATACGTCACTTATACGTCACAGCCCCAAAGTATTTTTAATTTTACACCCTTGTGTACATGAATAAGAAGTTTTGTAATTTTTACCTTTTATTTTACTTTGAAATTCGAACACCAAGTCATACAAAAAAAATAAATTACCAAAGTTGAATCATCATTTTATTAATTAAATAACAAATTGCAAAGCTATTTCATTTGAAGTTCTAGCCGGAGTGAATAAAAATATACATGCATACCAACATAAGTATAAATGTGCATAATTATGTACTCTCCAATATACATATGTATGTATCTCTTGTACATAGTTATGTACGTACTGTTCAACCATTTATTTGTAGTTCTTATTTTAGTTTGAAGCACAACAAGAAGATTACCTAGAATTTCACTGCAGTGCTGGCCAATTCAACAAAGCAACCCAAGCCACGACATATGTACAAGGATACTCCTAGTCGCACACACTCGTACGAGTATATATACCCTGTGGAGAAACGTACTAGTGCCGATTTGGTTTGTTACTAGAGAATTTAGAACCAATACTAGCAATTGGCAAATTTAACATTGCGATGTCCTACGAAGTGTCACGTTCTCACTTAAACTCATTACACCTCAATTGGGGAACTATTTGAGGATCTTAGACTATTAGAATAGACCAACGGTAGGCAAACGCGGCTCTTTGAGCCAAAAGCGGTTCTTTGCTTAACAAAGTGCGGCTCTTTTACTTTCTCTTTGCTTAGAAGATTTTGGCTCTTTTTACTTTTTAAAATACATATTTCTTTGCTGGACATTCTTTTCCATTGTGTATTTTTTATTTATTTTTTCTCTTTATATACACATACGCAAATTGAGATCGGAACATTACCCGCAATTAGATATTGAAAATTGGCTTTCTGACTAAATGTTCTTTACCGATATGAAGGCACATTTGCAAAACTTGAATTCGTCTCTACAAGGAGAGAATAAGAATGTTTTTGATTTGGCGCAAATTATTTTAAGTTTCGAAGCTAAACTACGTCTTTTTATTCATGATCTCAAAAAAAGAATATTTCATCATTTTCCACGGCTAGAAAAAAAATATTGCACATAATTTAAAAGTAGATTTTGAAAAAAGATTTGCCGATTTGAAATTATTGAAATGTGCGTTTGCATACTTCATAAACCCTTTTTACTGTAACATAATTGAGGATGAATTTACAATATCCGAAATACTCCCTTTTAAGAAAAGCAAAGAAGAGTTGGAGTTTTTGGAAGTAAAAGAAAATAAGGCACTGAAAATGCAACATGAAACTTTGCCATTGCTTGAATTCCCGCAACAAGTACCAGATTTAAAATATCTCCTGTTGAAAACAGCTGTGTGCCGTATATTTTCAATTTTTGGTACAACGTATAACTGTGAGTCTTTGTACTCTACAATGAAGTTCGTAAAGTCAAAATACCGCTCACAATTAGTTGCATTCGCGTACCTGATAATTATCGAAAGTTATAAAAACTATCAGCATTTTGTGTTCGCGTACGCAAAAAACTTGCAAAGTAGGGGAAATTGAGAGAGCAAAATGACATTTCATTTTGGGGAAAAGCTGCTAGTTTTTGCTGTAAAAATTTTTACCAACAGCAATTTGCCAACACAAAAACAGCTGATCAAAAACAGCTGGTCGGAATTTACGCCAATCCCAAAATTGAATTTGATGGTTTGGAAGTTAAAATAGTAAAGTGCGACTAATTAAACTTGTAGAAAGTAAGTAATTATTAGTTTAGTCAGTGAACTGTGTCAGGATAAGACTTCGGGGTCTGTTTTCTTACGTTTCCAATTTTATACTTTTGAATGTAAATAAAATTTCTATCAGCTGTTCTGTGCGCGTATTATTTTGGATTTTTTCCTCTTGTGAGAGAACAGATGACATTTCGCCGGAATCTTGCTGTTGGAAATTTTTTACTGGAAATTTTAAACGAACGCACCTATTGACTCACCAACATTTAAAAGAACTGTTACGAACGGCTTCAACTGACGTAAAACTAGATTTTGAAAATTTGGCCAAAGGGATCTTTTGAATTTTCTTTAGTATCTATCTTACTCTAATGTACGTAATAAAATTAATGTTTCTCATTTTTAATATAAATTTTATTTAAAAATGAAATTTTTATTTTTGTTGTTTTTGTGGCTCTTTGTAGCATTTAGAATTTACATGTGGCTCTTTTCGGCCTCGGCCTTGCCCACCCCTGGAATAGACTATTTCGGGATTAACGATACTATTTCGGGATTTTCATGACTATTTCGGGATCTTCAAGACTACTTCGGGAAGCCCGGCGCTAGTTCGTGATTTTCGGGACTATTTATAAATTTCCGTTATATTAATCGGTCTTGATATCGATAAATTTATCGAATTCGAAACCGACATTTTTATCGATATTGTTATCTCATCGGAATATTTTTTTGTTTGTGCGTTACCGCATAACTTGGACCAAGTTAATCTTTTCTTTTCTTTTTTTTTAAGGAAAGGTGTTACCTCAAGGGTGGTCCCATTATAATTTGGTTTAAATCCGATCAATGGATCATTAAGAGATTAACGGAAATCTTAAATTTTTATATGAGAATTAAAGTCGGTTTTGTTTTTTGTTTAAAAAACACTTTTTTGGTTTGAAATTTTCAATAAAAAATGATTGTTAAATTTATTTCGATTAAAAAATAAACGTTAGTTTTGCAGTGTTATGAACGTTTTAAATCCTTCATGATCTAAAAATTTAACGATTATTTTTGTATCCAAAAAATAAAAACTATTTTTACCTGAAAAATAAAGATCCAACTTTGGCGGTTAAATTATAGTTTTTTGTATAGGGATCATAACCGTTATGGTTAAACATCCCATTTTCCACAGTTCCGAACTAGCTCTAAATTCGCAACCTTAGATGTAGATTTCTAATGAAAAGTTTATTTTTTTTTTATTTTTTTAACTGAGGAGGTCCATAACAAAACGCAATAATTCCACCAAAACAATTTTTT